AGTAGTAGTAGTAGTAGTAGTAGTAGTAGTAGTAGTAGTAGTAGTAGTAGTCGTAGTAGTAGTAGTAGTAGTAGTAGTAGTAGTAGTAGTAATAAGACGATCATTATTATAATTATTTGTAGATGGACGGCTCATTTCGTCGGAGATCTGGGGCCCCAGCTGGAGACAAACGGCCCTCTCGGGCAAGCCCCGATTGTTGCGGGCCGCTCGTCGTCTCCTTTCTCCCCCTCCTCCTCCTCTTCTTCTTCCTTTTCCTCCTTCCTCCTCCTCCTCCTCCTTCTCCTCCTCCACGTCCTCCTCCTCCTCCCCCCTTCGTTCTCCTCCTTCTCCTTTTCTTCCTCCCCCTCCTCCTCCATTCGTGCGTTCCGTAGTCATTCTTGCTCGAGATCTTTGGTCAACAGGAGTCCACAGGGGAGCACGTGGATACATCTGCTCCGAGGCTTGATCAGAAGACTTTTTCGTTGAATGGGAAGGCTTTGAGCTGCCGGTTCAGAAGCGTGGCGCCTCCTTCGCGTGCAGGGGCTGCGGTCCGCTGGCGTTGTAAGCGGCGCTCGCAGCCCAAGACGGGGAAACCGTGGTGGAACCCCGCCGATTGAAAATAATGCACGAGCTGTGGGTTGCGGAAGGGTGATTGCCTCCATTCGAATGCGCAGCCTACCTTCTCGTCCAACAAGCGCGTGCCGCCATGGGCGAAGCAGGCAGAGAATGTCGAGGACGTGGTCGGGCGGCTTGAGGCACATAACAGGAAACCGCGAGCCAGTCCGCTTGCAGCCTGTGCGGGGGGCGCCGAAATGCTGGGCGAGGGGAGCGGGCGGGCTTCCGAGTCTGAAGAGGTGGTCACCCGCAAAAGGTTCAAGGAGGTGGAAGAGCAGATCGGGCTGCTCGCGAAGTGGGACGCCGACGGGAAGCTTGCGCTAGTCCTTCAGGAACTCCAGCGCGAGAAGAAGGACATCCACAGGCAGCTCAAGGAGGTGCGCCCGATCCACGCGCAGCTGCCCACGGTCTCGGTCGCCGAGAAGCGCGTGGCCACCGCGAAGGATCTCGTCGAAACCAAGAAGACCCTAAGGCCATGCCAGCGAGATCAGGGCGCGCATGCGCGAGCTCACGATTTCTGAGGTGGTTGCCTCCGAAGGAGTTTGCCCTGGCCGCCCCGACTCCCGGGGCCAAGCTCGACGTGGAGGAGTTCGAGAACCTGCTCTTTCAGCATGGGGCCCGCGAGCATTCAATCACGGTGGCGCAGGCGCTGGCCAAGGTCACCCCGAGGCTCGTTTCGGCCCCCGTGCAGGGCCCTGGCGGGCAGGGGCCAGCAGGGGAGCGCGCCGCGCGACAAGAGCAGCGGGCACGACAGCAGGGGCAGCAGTCGACGGCCTCCTGCCCAAGGCCGAGGACGCCGATAAGATCGTCGAGTCCGCCTCCGAGCAGGAGCATCGGGACGGGCCGTGGGCCCGCCGCCCGCGCGGCTAGGTGCCCGAGTTGCCCGAGGTCGCGGTCGATCTGCGCGCTGCTTCTGCGCGGCGGACAACCCGCCCGCTGCTCGCCGAGGCTTTGGCCGCCAGGAACGACCAGCAGCGCCAATATTGTTCGTGAGTTTGTCGAGCCCGCGAGCTTGGGTTGCATCGTGGCGACGAGCCGTCAAAGCGCCGCAGAAATTAGGCCTGCTTCCGCCCGCGACGCGCGAGCGCGACTCGCTGCAGCGGCAGGCGTTCGCGCGCCGCGCTACGCTGCGGCCGGGGCGAGGACCTTGACTGGTGGATCTCTTCTGCGACGGCTGGGCCACTGGGCCGTCCACGGGCACCGCGTTACCTCCCTTACTGGCCAGAGACGCGCATTCCCCTGCGCGTGGGACGTGCGCGGCGGAAAAAGCCAGGTCGAGCTTCAGTTCGGATTGGCGCCCTCCGCAACAGACCAGAGATGCGCATTCCTCCAGGTTCGCCGCCGCCGAGACCGGCAACATGGCCAAACGAGGCCGGGCCGCGCCGAGCTCCAGGCAGTCGTCGCCGGAAGCTGCGGCGAGACCCGCGCCTGGTTGTTCGACGCATGCGGGCTCGGCGTCGGCGTCTGTCTCGCCCAGCTGGCGCGCCACGGCGAGTGCCGCGCCGGCCTCGGCATGCCTTGCCGCCGCGGCCTTCAGCGCCGCAGGCCAAAACAATTGTCGATTGCACCGCGCAGTCGGTTGGGGGCGACGCCTGCGTCGCCCGCGGGGGGGCGGGCGCCGGCGGCCGCAGCGGCCTCGGGCCAGCGGGCCAGAGGTGGGCGCGGTAGGGGGGGGCAGAAGGCGTTGGACGCATTGGGCCACAACGTGTATTTTGTCCCGGCCAACCTGGAGGGCGCGGGCCGCTCAAGGCCTGCCGCGAGGATTACTCGGCCAAGGTCGTCGCGGCGCAGGGGAGCCAGACGCAGGCGGGCAACCTCCCCTCCGCGCAGGGGCGCGTGAAAGACTCCGGTTTCCGCGGGATTTATGCGCCAGCGATGCTCCTGGAGGCCGGGCGTTAATCTGGTGGCCCTGCGGCGTCGGCGGGGTCTCGCGAGGCTGCCAAAGCGCTTCCACTCGCGGAGAGCGCCATCCAGGCAAGTGGGCGCCTCGCAGAAGCGAGTGTCGCTTGGGGCGCCCCTCGAGGCACATCTGCGATCGTTGCCCACTCGGCCTCGGGGGTGCGGTTTGCGATCGAGAGCGGGGCGCCGCCCGTCGCGCTACCCGGGCACCCACGCATGCTCAGCGGCGCTGGGCGAGATAAGTTGGCCATTGGCGACAAGTGCCCCGCGGCCGGCTTCGGTCGCAGTTCCTCGCGCTGGCATCAAGGCCGTTTCGCTTGCGGGCAGCTCCTTGACAGCGAGCGTGGTCGACCATGCGCTGGCCCGCCAGAAATCGGCCACCCGGGCCCGAAGGCCTGCGGCGATGGGTGATGCCGCGGCGAGGGCACGTCGGAAAGAGGAGCGTCGTTCTTGAGCGAGGAGCGGCCTCCTTGGATCACGGCGGCGCTCGAACCTCGGACCCCCCCGGGATTCCGCCAGCGGGCCGCGCGCGATTCTCGCCCGAGGCGCTGCGCTGAGCTGCGCCGAGCTTGCGCTGCATGGGGGCCCGCGACACTGCGGGCCCCGAGGCGGCGAGGCATTCGCGCAGAGAAGGTTCGATCGACGCTCCGTTGTCCAAGGCGCAGCGACGGCGGTTTCGCGCGAGGCGGCAGCTCCACGTTCCGTCGCTTGCGCCGATTGCGGCGGGTCGGTGAGCGAGTCGCGCCATCGGCCGCTCGCGCTCGCCAGCGGCGACGCGCGGGCGGCGTCGCGGCGCGGGGTGGCGCGCTGGAAACGGAGCATGTCCACGCTGACCTATGGCCGCGCTTCGCCAACGTGAGGCGAGCGAGCGCGACGCCCGTGGCAGGTCGGATTCCCGGCGCGTCCGCGAGCGACAGATCGGAGTTGGCTATGATTGCGGATCCAGGCATAGACGCGGTGGCGCGGGGGATCTTTGCTGAGGGCGACAGGCAGCAGAAGCGGCGCGATCGGAAAGATCAGGCCACGCGGCGCGGTGGGGCCGATTGGGCGCCCGCAGAAGGAGCCAGCGAGGCACGCGAGTTCACTTGTCTGCAGGCTGCCCAGGAGATCCGGGTGGCCCGCGAAGAGCAGCCACCGTGCGAGTTGGTCGACGCAGAGGCGTAGGGCCTTGGAGAAAGGTTTGGGCGCCGCCACGATGCCGGCGGCTTATCTCGCCGATCGCGACGATTGGCCCGAGGTCCCCCGCGTCGCGCTGGGGGCGAGGGCGGTCGCGATCATGCGTTGCGCTTGGAAGACTGCGGCAGGCCCCGCTCGCATCCAGCCGCGATCGCCGTGGTTCTTGTCGAGGCAGGGGCTGGAGGCCATGGCGAGTTTCTTGAAGCAGCGTGAGGAGCTGCTGCGCTAGTCGCGTGGTCGCGCGCGCTGAAATGGATCGGATTCAGAATTCGGGCGGAGGCGTTCGTCCGGCGGCGCTCATCGACGCGCGCGCGCGAGCGCGGGCGAGAGCGAGGCGCCCATTTTCCAGGCGTTGGAGCGCTTCGCGCAACTCGGCATCTGCTCGTGGCAATCGTTACGGCATCTCCTCTTCCGCTTCAGCATGCGCCCACAGCTCGGCTTTCGGGCGCGGAACAGTCGGGCGAGCATGCGACGCCGGCCATGG